CCCCCATACACTATATAAACCTGGTTTTCTTTATTTATAGTGTTACAGCAAAAAACTAAAATAACAAAAATGTACATTCTAGGTACATACTCAGGCTCCAAAACTCTTTTAGCACATCTGCTGTGTAAGTAGACTAGTTCTGTGGAGTAAGAGTAACAAGTTCAGTATTTTTTCATGTTTACAGACCTGTTCCCACTGCAATGATCTGAAAATGTTCAGGTCGTTGCAGTGGGGACAGGATAATTATATTGTTTGGGAGAATGAGGCAAGATCAGTGTCCTTGCCACTTTGATGTATGGCATCCTGATGTGAATGCTATGTTATGTTTTTACAGACATTGGCAGGTATAAGATTCTCAGGGTACAACTTTAAGAAAAATTGAACAGTTTCATTTAGGGCTGAAACAATTAAATCGCATTAATCTTGATTAATCGACTATTGAAATAATTGTCAACTAATTCAGTAATGGATTAATCGTTAGCTGGATAAAGAGACTGTAAAACATGCTTTTAGCTGACGGAGCAACTGACTTACGTAGAGCAGTAAATATATCAAAATTGTAGTCAATATGCTGTATCCAGAACTCAAGTGTAAAGCTTGAGTTTCACTTGTTTAATTTAATAAAAAGTCTACTTTAAAGAATCTTTGGCTATCCGATTATTAATCAATCAATCGAAAAAATAATCAACAGATTAATTGATTTGCATAATAATCTTTAGTTGTAGCCCAGGTTTCATTAGCCTGGCCAGCTAGACTGACTTACATGGGGCAGTAATAAGTCTGATGAGGCTCAGATTCTGGTCTAAAACAGATTGGACCAATCACAGTACGGGAGGTTTAGGAGTTTATATTTGCACCAGAATTAACCATAATGCAACAGCTGTTTTTTGTAACCATAAAAATGACAATTGCAGCTGCAACAAAGTGATGTTTTAATGATGCCCTTTATTATGTCCTAAATGAGCTGGATATATGTTTACAATTTCAACAGCTGGGTGCTGTAGAAACTTTTCTTTAAAAAAAAGACATTTTTGCATCACAGCTATAGTTATCTAATTAGACTTAAACTGGTTCTGCTGAATGTGTTAGTCCGGGTGTTCCTGCCTTTGACATCAAGTACTACCTGGTCCTTCTGCAGTGTATACAGTGTAAATAAGTCTCGCTGGCCAGAATACAATATCATTGCATTTAGGCAAATGTGTAAAACAAAAGCGGGGTAGCATATGCTCTATTTGCTTTTATTAAAAACAAAAACCAAGAGTTATTACCATGACTGCCAATGAAAAGTTGGAACAGCTGTTAGATTTATTTATTGTTTTTTTACTTTTTGCACCTCACTTGGAGTTTGCACTGAACTGGAGTATCCGCAATATCCATGTTGAATATAAAACTTTGATTCTTTGCTAGGTCGGATCCATTTAACATGGACGCGCTTGACGTCATATCATATAGGCTAAAGGTTTATGGATTCATCGCACTGAACTACTGAGGTGTCATTCTGCTCATCAAACTATGGTTTAATCATATAGGTCCAATTAAAAAGGGTATTTCAAAATGTTTTTTTTAAAAACCTACAAGATATCGATTTAAAACATAACCTAAAAAAATAGTTATTGCTCTCCACCTATAGCCAACCCATTCATCTGGTGAAAACACACTCATACACCCACAATTATTCATTTGCATGGGAGATTAAAAAACCTTTCATAAAACCTTAATAAAATTAGACGGGTGGCGGTCTAATGCCAGGACTGTATTTTTCCTACATGGACATATTTTCATATTTAATGCTTAATTTTTATGCATTTTTCCAAAGTGACTTACAAATTAGACACGTTACAGTTATAATCAATATGACAATAAGTTCTTTAGAGGAAAGTCACTAGTCAGAATCAGTGGTGCAAAGAGATAGTGGGAAGTACAGATAGAATAGTACTCAATACAGAGCTATGGGTAAGAGTTAGGATAGGAGATACTCTTTGAAGAGTTGGGTCTTTAGGAGTTTCCTAAACATAGAAAGGGATGCTGCTGTTCTTGCAGCGCTTGGTAGTACATTCCACCATTTTGGAACAACGCATGAAGCAGTCCGGATTGTCTTAAGCGTGGTGCACTGCTAGACGACAATCCATTGATGATGGGAGTGACCGAGTTGTGACATAATCCTGTGCTAGAGGGTTCAAGTAGATGGGAGTCGTACCTTTAAGCACTTTGTAGCATCAAGGACTTGGATTTGATGCGGGTAGCCAGGGGTAACCAGTGAAGATTAATAGACAGAGGGGTCATATTAGACTTTTTGGGCTGATTCATGTTTCAAACCGCTGAAATGCATCTTTCTATAACCTTCTTCAGGGCAGCTAAGTGGTACACAGCAATATGTGGTGGAGGGCTCCTCCTTTACCACTCTATGCGGTATTTTTGGTTTCTGATTAACGCTTTAAGCCAAATTAATGGATTTCAACTACTTCTTAAATTTTGAAAACTTTGCTACAATGACCACTTCATCATATTTTGAATACTGTTTTACAAATGCAAAATTCAAGTTGTTTTTACATGATTATTCATGTCCCCCTATAATCTTATAATTACATAAATTTACTGTAATTTCCTGTAAGCATCTCTTACAGTTTTTGCTGTAATAAAAACCTTTTTACTCTTGATAGTCAAAACTTTAGAGATGTGGTTTTTGACAGATTTCTCTTTCTTTTTATGTCGATACCCCAAAAATGTAAAAATACTGTTAAAGTGTTAACTTCAGCCCCAGCTTGTTAAAGGTAGTTAGAAGTCTGGCTTAAATTAGTAACATGCTTTTAAGGTACGTCTTTAAACCCAACACTTGCAGGCTACAAAAAAACTTTTCCACATTCTATTTCAAGTTCCTTTCCCTACTTAGCCCTAAATAGAAAGTTACATTTATTTTAGTTCATATGTCCAAATTAAGATGAGTTTACAGCTAGATATCAAAATACAACCTCGTATGGATGATTTTTCATCACCTTTAAGGCAAACACATGTTTTGTTCTGGGGATTCTTGCTGTGATGCTTTTCACTCACTAAACCGGTTAAAGGATTCTGATTCTCTCTGAACTATATTTTTCAATTCTCTCCAATACATTTTTCCTTTTTTTTTTCTAAATAACTTTGTTTTTACAAAACTGAGCAATAGGAAATATATTTGAGATCCAAGCATCTTTTCTCATTTCAAACAAACTAAAATTGTTAACACCTGTTTGCATGTATTTATTTTGTATGTGTTTTAAAAAGTGTTTTAAAGGGTTAATTATATAATTATATTACTGTGTTTTAATTGAGCTTTTTCTATACAAGTTGTCTTTTATTGATCTTATCCAAGTAGTTGGGATTAAGCTCCAGACGAAATCACTTCGTCATGTTACATAATCATTACTTCATATTTTCAAATTCACAGCTTATGAAGGAAGAAGAGAAAGTTTGAAATCTTATAATAGAAGCTCAGTTTATACTATTTCAATCTCAGATTTAAGATTAAGGAGTGCAATCTAAATTTAGCCGTGCCAATTATCCTCCTCCCATGTCTTTGTAATCCATGTTACATCTCTGAATTCTAATTAGGGCTCTTAGGAGTTAATTTGACATGTTTTATGTGGGCCATGACACACTAACATAACACAGCATGCTTTTAAGAATAAAAAGATTATCTTAATTTCTTCCTGTGGGGTTCACTAGTTCTATAAAGTGTCTCTCCCCTGGTGTTCTCTCCTTTTCATTTACCTGACTGCTCACTGACTTTCCTGCCCAACTACTCTTACTTCAAGGATAAGTTACCAGAGTCTTTCCTTAAAGTAATGTTTGGATAGCCAAGGCAGGTTCATACAGGTGGAAATGGGGGGAAAAAAGTTGTTGAGTTACAAAGTAAAAGAGATGCACACCAATCAAGAAACACTTCTTTGGATTTAGAAGAGGATCATCTGATAGATGGGTGGGATAAATTAAAACTGAGCAGCTGCAGTTTATAATCAGTGCCAGCTTCAAATTCACTGGCTTGGGTCTGTTTTGTTAACCACAGGATGCGTTTGCATGCCACAATTATTTAAAAGTGCTTCTGGAATTGTAGACAAATGGCTGATTTTGTTTTGCCTCATTAAAACAAACTCATTTTAAACTAGTATTCTAACAAGGATCATATGGTATACTATTGGCTGTGTAATTTGTTTATGCTCTGAGGATTGGCCATGCATTGTTCCCCTCTGCTTTTGTTGTGTATTTTTGTCCCGTGTTTGCATTTAGATTCTCCCTTTGCAGCATCTTTTCTTGTCCGACGTACAGTTTTGGAAAAAGACCATTCTTAACATCCTGGAATGGCATAACACTTGTTAAACACACAAACATCCCAATACAGCTCTTAGGAGGAACTCCCCATGCCATCAGTAATACCATTCAGCGCACATGCTGTCATGTTTATTGTCTGACTCGATGGGAGGTTTTAGATGCTTGGAGAAAGATGAAAGACAACATTCTTTACTTTCTGCTTCCATGTTTTCACTTTCTCAACCCATACATGTTCAAGCTGCACGGAAAAACAAGATATGTTACAAAAATGTCCTCAACATATAAAGAAATCTTCTTTGATAGCTATTGAGTTCCTCTGCAGTCACTCTCCAGACTGGAAGACTTTTACGAGCTTGTAATCTGAGTCTTCTCGTTGTTCTGAGAGCTTTTAAGTTTGACCCCCACCACCTCCTACGCTTGACACCTTGGTCATGCCGCTACAACAGGTGTCTCTGCACGGCTATAGAATTATGCACCGAGACACAGAAGCAAGTTGAGCGGCTGGTGGGAGAGCTGATTTGTGCAGCAGTCAGCCGGCAAACTGTTCCTGTGGGATTGATCTCCGTGTAAGGATAATCTGAGTAATCCTATAACTGGCGCCGGTGGACTCCGCCTCCTTTTTCTATGCAGTGCCGCACCCCCTTGGCTTTACACGCCTAAAAAACAGCTCCTCCTTCTCCACATGGAGCCTTTCCTTCCCGGCTCTCTTCTAGAAAGTTTGTGATCAGGGGGTTAACTTGAACACAACTTGAGTTTGTGTTTAAGGCATGTGGAATCCTGTTTCTTTACCAGCGACCGGAGGCAACCCTGGGAGGGAAATGGGTTATGGTCACTGTGAGTAGATTCTTCTTATTGCTATTCTTGAGCATTCTAAGTTGCATTTATTTCTTGATCTTCTTTAAAAAGTGCCCCGACTTCATGCCTACCATTTTTCTCCCAGTGCTACAACCTAATTTTTCTGGTAATAATGTACCAAAGCCTAAGTTTGTGCTTTTTGAACCATTAAATCATTTTAAGCGGTTGTGACAGCTACAAGGCTTTGCTGTTTCTAGCTAGAATTGAGAGCTTGTGATTCACTTGAGGCCTCACATGTGTTCAGCAGGGATGTCACTCAACCTTAAAGGACGCTTCCAGCTCTCTTTGCCTTGTCCTTCACTATCTGTTTAACTCTCAACACTTGTCCTTTCCTATTAGCCCCCTTTCATTCTGGTTTGGCCGTCCGCTTTCTGTCTCCACTGTCTGTCTGCCCGTTGGTGGATAAGCACCTCTCCTCATATTTCTGTCTCCTAAGGTTGGACTATGATGTGTTTTGAGGCCTACTCACTTGTTTGCACTGTTTATAAGCGTGTGTGATTACATCTGAGTAGTGTAGATAATAGAGAGCTATTGTACTCTCAAGTATCTGTTAAGAGGAGCTGGTGGATCACTCCAGTTTACAAGAGTAAACACAAGGGTGTTCATTGCAGTCTGAAGGGTTAAGGGCGTCCTTGTTGATGGTGGGAGGGCAAATTGTTCTGGTCTCATATCAGCCAGAAGCACATCTGGATGTATGACAAAGCTGTGATTACATTCATATCCTTCTGAACTTGTGCATTAGGCGGGACTTAACTGCAAAGTCTACCTCTGAGACAAACAACGAAAAAATGGAGAAAAACTAATTTTCTGTAGTTTTTTTTTAACAATAGAATAATTTACAGTCATGTAAAATTTTCTGACATTGAATCTGACAGGTTTCATTTTATTTTAAAACACACCATGTTTGCTGAATGTAAAGTTGGTGCAGAAAAGATGAAAAAACATCTCAAACGCCGGTCTCTCTTTTTATCCATGTGTTTTTTTAATCCATTCATTTATTCAAGATTGGTTTAGAGCGGTGGCAGGTGGAGGATGGAAAACCAGCCATCTGTGTCCTGAGTGAATCTCTGCATCCAGCTCATTCAATTCAATACAGTTTATATATATATATAAAAGGCCAATTCACTAACAATGTCATCTTAAGACATTTTACACAAACAGTTAAATCAGATCATACAGTCATATTGGTTTAAAGTTGTCTATCTAAGAAAAATAGCTGAATGCATTGACTCATTGAGTGGGCGGCGTTCCCTCACACTAAGCATGCATGTCGCAACAGTGGAGAGGACAAACTCTCCTTTAACAGGAAGAATCCTCCAGCAGATCCAGGATCTGCCAAGGCTGACTGGGGTTCAAGGAGAAAGAAGCACTGATCTATTAATGCTTCATATGTTACAAAAGGTAATAGTTTGCTCCGTTATACCTAATTTGATTCATATTACCTGATGATGAAACCATTATAAGAAATTTTACTATATTAAAAAAACCTTGTGTAAAATATTACAGTAGCACAGTATTAAGTAAGAAAGTAATTAAGGCTCAAATTATTCATTTAACTTGCAGGTTTAGATTTAAAGTTTTTCTTCCCAATGAGAAGTTCTTTTCTGATTGTAAAAGCGGTGAGTGGAAACCCAGCTGAATTTCTATAAATGAGGGAAATTGTAGTACTTCAATTTAAGCCAGCTGACAAGTTCACAATCTTACAACAGCTCACAATCCGACACAAGTTCACAATCCTGCAGCAGCTCACTAATGTAGAGTTATTGTATAGAAATAATATAACAGGACATTTTGAAGGACAACTTTCTAAAACTTTGGTATACTTAGCTTTTTACCTTGCCTAGAGTTAGACTGAAACCAGAATAATGTTTGATCGCATTTAAAGGATTCTTCTATAAATATAGAATCATAAAAACATGAATCTGACATGGAAGTCAATATGAACTACATTGTACTTTGGTAACAGTGCTGCACTCTGTAAAAGTGGAAAGCACAGATCTGTGCAGTGAAAAATGAAAACATGACCTGCAATTAGAAATAACCAGGGACCTTTATAAAATGGATTGCTTGGATATCTGCATGCACAGCTGACAATATCACGTGTTATAGATGGCGGTAGCTGAGTTTTCTTTTAAACTGTACAATTATTCAAAAATGTTTGACATCCCGCTTTTCCCTAACCTCATATTTTTACTTCGCCACACTTGGTATTTATTGAACATTGACAAACACTTCTTTGTATTTTACTCTTAGTTTATATTCCGTATATATATATATATATATATATAATATATATCTTTTAATTATTCACCAGCAGTGTTTCCACGAAGCACAACTAAACATGCGTTTTTTCATGTCTCTGTCATTCTATTTAAGCTGAGAACAGCTGGTATTATGTACTGTAAAACCATCAGTACATCTAACTTTGGTATTTATCTTTACGCACAGCTGTGGTGCAGCTCAGCATCTCTCAGATTGTGTTGTTTTTATTTTTGATTGGTATGACCACTCTGGTGGACTTGAGTGTAAAGCTTTATTTTTCATTACACTGTAGAAAGTAATTCATGTAATTTAACCCTTTTATGTTTTGATAAAGGAGGCTGTACACTGCTAACTGGTTACACAAACTTTTATCATAAGCTTATTGTCTGCAACTATAACATTTGTGTTGTTTTTTTTCAACTCTATTAAAGAGAGTTAGAGACCGGATTGCAAAGCTGATGGTGTAATGGCTTCCGTGCACTAAAATAGGCTTTGTGACTCATCTATCTGTACAGTTTTCTGTTGTGATGCTGAACAGCTCAGCTCATCCCATGTTCCTTCAAAGCTGTTTAATCATCATATTTCTTCTGTCACAAGTAATCCTTGTAGGTTGTGAAGTCCAGCAGTCAAATTGCCCCGCTGAAACACGCTGGGTCACAGCATGAGCTTGTGTTCACCCTTTCGCGGCCCTCCGGTTTAACAGGCGACGACTACTTCCAGGAACTAATTGGAGTTACCTCATCAGGCAAAGCCACGAGAGCGGATGCTTTGATTTGCATGAGCCTTTTAGTACAGCTGTTTGTTTGCTTTCCAAGACTGCTTGGTCAGCCTGTTCCCTGCTAGCTCTTTGTTTAAGCTTCAAACTTTTTTATCACTTGCAAAACAATCTTTATCTTGTCCTTGTCTCAGTCCTGGCCTCGTAATCGATCAGCCGCTTCTGTTTCTGTGTAATATGTCTCCCTCTGGAAGGTCTTTGTATGTGTAATGACGCAGAATGTGGAGGGAAAAAGACTATGAAAAGTGCTTCATACATACACAATGAAATATTTATGTGCTTTTGTCGAATCTTGTTGTTGGTACTCTCTCTAAAAAGGTTTGGGTTATAAAGTTTCTTTGTAGAGGTTTAAAAAAAAAAGAAAATGCTATTTGTTTGACTTCACCAGAGGGCAAAATCTGGGGTCAGAGAAGTTCACGGCTCAATTTCTTGTGTTTTCACAGCCGTCTGACTTTATTAAGGGGAAAAAAACCTTTGGTTATTATATACATTGATATAAATAATGGTTACTAATATTCTATTTAGTAAGTTAAGTTGTTATACCAACAGTAGGGATAATGTTTGCTTTTCTTCTTTGGATAAATCAAACTGAAATTCACTATGTATGCTTTCTGTGGTGTGTCGATCAGTGGCAGGAGTGCAGCTCTCTCCTACCAGTAGCCTAGATCCCAATACGGATGCATTGCTCAGAACAGGAGCAAATCAAAAGTGACATCCATGTTTCAAAGCGAGCGAGACAGGATCTGATTTCTATAAAAAAAAAATACACCTCTTTTACTTTTTCAATATTTTAGCAAATATGACAAGATAGAAACAGTTTTCCAGCAGGCTAATGGATTTGTTGAGTTTCACACCAATATAAAAAAAATAAGAATAAGAGACTTTATAAAAGCAACTGTTAAGTTAGTGAAAAGCATCAGTCAGGAAGACTGCATCTGCTTTTAATTTTCTTTTTTTTTTATACTTGTACCCATTGCTACCCCATTAGTGGCACATTCCTACTTCTAATAACACATCAGAGCAGAAATAAACATAGGCCAGCTGATGAGTTGACATTCCCACTTGAGAGATTTTAAGTTTGTGTGGGTGTGTGGAAGGGAAGTGGAACAGAGCCCTTCCCCATCCTTCCATCACACACTCCATCCGTCCATCTCAGCAGCTATTGCTTCCCTTCCTCTCTGGCTCTGTTCCACTCTTCGCCTCCCACCTTCTTGACAGCTGGCCTAGTGAGCTGTAGATACTTACTACAGGATAAGAGGATTTAGTGACACAATTACTCAAACATCAACCCCATTAAGGCAGAAAAATAAAAATCAATGGTTTCTGTGGTGCGGTTGTGTTGATGGGTGCTGAGGATTTTATAATGCTGTTATGTATGTGCACACAGGGTGAACATGTGGGCACAATGCAGAGGGATTCAGAGGTTATTTCTTGATTACAAGACGGCTCCATGTAATGAGCTCCGCAGGCTATCTGTCTGATTACTTTAGGAAGTTCTCTATTTTTTTTGGCTACACCACTTTCAATTACAGACCCCCCATTTTGCAAACAATCGCACACATATAGGCAGTAAATTCAGTGACTATAAGCCATTTATTAGACAAACCAATTTACACGCTGAGGATTATTTCATCCTTGTTACTAGGGCTTATCTCCTAGACCTTCAGACTAATGTTGCTGTTGAGGCACAGATTTGCTCCTTCTAACCACTGGCTCCCCCCCCAAACACTCCCACTGTTGGTCTGCTCTGCAGACAAGAGATATTATTAGTTTGGAGGCTATGTCCTTATTGAGTTACCACACAGAAGATCACTCCATCTAGTTCCAAACCAGTAATTAACAGGGCACGGGTTAGAGAGTTTTATGGTGTATAATTTGTTTCTAAGCCTCTGATTACCAGATTGATGCAAGGCTTTTGTAATACTTGTTAATGATTGGTGTC